GGGAAGATGGGTGACGACTCGGAATGAGGGAACTGATGTTAGGTCAACAACAACAACAGCAACACCCACTCCCGTTCATGCCGTTCCAAGGCCAGGCTCATAAACTGGATTAGAATAGAGGCCTGTTGAAGAGAAGTGACAATTTTGTAACTTATTTGAATGGAAAGAGCAGCACTGCTGCTGCTGTTGAATACTGCTCTAATCTGGTTCATACCACTCCATTTCCGAATCGTAGCAGATCACCAGCAATAGAATAGACTGCAATGGGTTGTACCAGTATATCTCCTTGTCGATAGATGCAGATCTCGAGTGTTGGTCAGTCTGAGGCGGTGGTTTGATCGCTGTTCTACTTCTGTATGTTTCCTTTCATATCCAATATTGTGTTTTTCACAGATTTCCCAATGTGCCTCCTCAACTGTCAGTTTTCCCACTCGCAGAGTATTGCGCCACCAGAACATTGGGTCGGCTGAGGCGCTTTAATCAAATGCGATAATTTCTTTCTCGATTGACGGCTCCGTAGGACCTCACGAACAGCTGTGGTTGGGTGGCAGGAGTCGGGGATTGAGTTGTCACGAGTAGAGAGTTCTCACAGGACATAGGGGGCAAAACTTGGGGTAAAGTTGGACGAGTAGCATTACCACGTCGGAAAATGGTGGGTGCCGGGGGTCGAACCCGGGATCGATGTGGGCCTAAGTGCCAGTATGAGGCAACCGACTGTGTATTACATATTTGCCCTCCCAATAAAGGTAGACCAACACAACGGTCGGAGATCCATTTGGTCACATTTACGCCATATAATATTCATGTTGATAGTACTAGCCGGTGTCGCTAAGTCCGTCACTGCGCCACGAAAATCACATAGATCAACTCACAATCAATATTCATGAGGTCATACCACGCTGTGGTGAAGTGTTATGATCTAGAACTCTCGTCGCAGCAACCAAAAAATAATAGCGAAGATACATGCGATGTATGACTTTAGTTTCTGACCTCAACCTCCACAACAATCACAATTCAAGCGCAACCTCTCCCGAATTCGTACTCTCATAAACACTCTCAGCCGTTTTCATCACTTCCCATTACAATCTTTCAAACCCGTTGCTGATGCTACTCAACTCATGATTGACTAAACCGAACAAAAAATTGAATTATTATTATAGACGAATCAGTAATGGTAGGAACAATACTGGTAGAGAGTAGAACAATGCACATCATCGACAGAGAGAAGCAACGACACGGCAGTTGATGGTTGATAATAACCGGCCGCTGACACTGACAACAACTGTGATTGTTTATAAGCTAAATATGCAGAAACGACCAAGCAAGTTCATCATCGCACACGCAACAGCTCTATTGAGTGATGATTACTGGTTGTTCTGAGCTATCTTATTGTTGATAGCGTTCTTGAACTCATCATAGAACACAAGAACTAAAGCAGCGCCGACACCACGGAGCATGTTAGAGAGACCACCCTTGAAGAAACCAGGGACACCCTCCTCTTGGAAGACCTTGACCCAGCAGTCCCAATTGGAAGAGTACTGGACAGCGTTGCCACCACGACCGGCCATCATCATCATACGACGACGGACAGTATCGAAGGGATAAGATACCAAACCAGAAACAGCAGTAACACTCTGGGCAAGAACGAACTTAACAATAACATTAGCATTCTTCTCATCCTTGA